TTTTTCAGTTAAAGACAGTTCATCATTGAATTCAGTGATGTCAACATCCAGCTCAGTTTAAATAATATCTTTGCAATTATGTCAACGATAACGTTGGAAATGAAGTGTCCCCAACTAAGCAAGCCAGAGGCGACAGCGGCGAGGAACCAAAACTCCATCGGTGACAGAATGGAGAAACAACCTTGGGAGAAACCAGGCTCAGTCGGGGGGCCAGTTCTCCTCTGACCAGACGAACCAGCAGAACGGAAAAATCAATATAAGACGTAATAAAACAGACGATGAACAATATTAACAGCAATTATTATATGATGCAATCAAACTTATAGCAAAATGTGGTAGTTCTGTATGTTGTTTCAGGGTTGGCATCATCTGAGGTCCTCTGAGGGGTTGGCATCATCTCTTCTCAGGTGTTCTGAGACATACATACACATACTGCAAATAATGTGTTGCTAACTACTGTGATAATAATTAAATTATTAATTGTTTTAATTGGGACATTCTTCTTTGGTGAAATATCCACAAATATTCTCTGAATCTGTTGATAGCAGTTGAAACGAAAGGTGGACTGAAACGATCCATAAGTGGACCATGGTGAGCCATCTGGAGGCTGAGCAGGGGTGATGGACATGCTCAGGTCTTTTCCATTCAGACCACCTTGGACTGACAGCTGAATGTTTGTCTTACTACCCACTGGGCCTGACCACATGCATGCGCGCGCACACACACACACACACACACACACACACACAAGCTGACACTGTACACTGTTTCAGGCAATAAGTGATGTTTCTCCCTGCTGTGGCTTCCATTGTCAGAACAATACATCACACAGATATTGCTCTTATTGGTGAGAATAGGCCTTCAACATACCAATTTTGCATTTATTCTCGCAGATGCTGACATATAGACATGATGCTTCATTCAAAATCATCTGTAAAAATTGTTGACTACATTGAGTCAAGGCTATTCAAGTTTATTAACGCTTCATGAATGAATCTCACCTGACCTTCTAGTTTTTTCACAAAGCTTACTTAAATTCATGCTTTGCATATGCATTATAGCTATTTATCATCGTTCATCTTCTCGTTTTGTCTCTCCCCTACTCTGTCCTCAGCTGGTCTGATTTAACATCTGATCCGAGCAATAAGCACTGCACATTCAGCCTTAGTCATGTGTTTGTCACACTCCCGCTTTCTTACTTTCGCTGTGCCTTTGACGTCCCTTGCTCTCTTTTTCCCCTAATCCATGCCTCAGACACACAAGCATGCACACACAACGCCGGTTCCTCTTGGTGTAGCCAGAAGAGGTGCACATGTCCTCCCTATGACACATCTACACCACATTTATCTTCTGCCACCACAGAGAGGCCATGTGTGGTGTTGTGTTGTTTGGTTGACACCATATAGTGTCACACACAAGCTAAGTCACATATTCACAACATACTTAATGTGTAAATACACAAATTTGTGTGATGTTTAGCATTTAAGAGTAGTGAATTATTATGTTTCTTGTTGGTTAATTTGAAAACATGCAGATTAATTGGCCCTCTGTGAGAGCCGACCTTCTTCCATCTGCACAGAGTAGACTATATGCTCTCTTTATAGGCCATTAAAGCTTTGAGCTTGTTTCTGAACAGGAAGGGCCTTTGAGATATCCCATTCTTCAGCTAGTAAAGATCAGTGTGTGATGGCATATGTAACAGGCAGTTGGCAGGACCTGAATCTCTTCTGTCCTTTAGTGGTTTATTTATTCATAGTGATAAGCAAATGAAATGAAGACTTAAAGTCTGCATGAAATGAAAATTTACCTTACTTTACGTTCTTCAAATCATTTTAAATGCTACTAGTGAATTTATATGCTATAATGTACAGTAAGAAAAAAGGCTATTCATTTTGAGGTTTAAGATTACATTTAACTGTTATTAAATTATTATCGTTTAAAAGATTAACTTAAAGGTGGGGTATGTTTTTTTTTCTTCCAAAAACGCTTTGGAAAACTGAGTTGGGCCGAGTACCAAAACAAACTTGTAGCCAATCAGCAGTAAGGGGCGTGTCTACTCATGATGCGGCGGAGAGGGCGCTCCGTGCACAGGACTAGTGGTCGACCGATATGGGTTTTTTGACAGCCGATGCCGATATTTTGGAAAGCAGGGTGGCCGAAATAAAGCCGATATAATTTTATTTATTTTACTTTATATTTAAGAAATTTGAAATCATTTGAAATGGATTAAAATAATTGTGTAAAATAAACATACTTTAGAAGACAAAGCATTTTAAACAAATTAATAAATATTTAATAAAAATCTAATTAAAAAGGAAGTAAACACTTTAACCAACAGGGCACTCAGTATTCTGGGATGTTTGTGTGCATTGGGAATCTTTTAATTTTTTTTTAAATAAAGCCAAGGTAACACTTATTTTACATACAGCACTCAATGAAAATGACACGAATATGACAGTGGGCAAATGCATAAAACGCAGCATAATTTGAAATCACTAGTATAAAGTTTGTCGATCACGCGTCTCCAGTCAAGCAGAGCTCTCCTCCTTTCAGCATTCAATTTGCACGGACCGTCCGTCACGCAGAGAACAAGTGATCATGCAGGGTACACATGCACACTTCACAAAATCTCAACTAGATTCAACTAAGTTTGCAAGGTTTGTGAAATTAAATGTTCATTAGTCATTAAAAGATTTAAATAAATGCGTATTTGCTGAATGCTGACAGCAAATGAGAACGTATTATAATGTTTGCCTTTCTATTACTAATAATATTAAAGCAATCGTTATAATACTTTTTTGAATACATTTTAATAACTTTGTTTAACAGTTCTATCTGATTATTAGATAGACTTCTATCCATATTAGACAGAACTGAACGACGACAGCGAACAAGAGGGATAATGTGAGCGGTGTGCGCTCAGGCGCTGCCCTTCTCAGCACCGTCAAAATAAAAGTCCCGCCACATCGGCCAAACAGAAAAACAACTTCTTCTTCGGTTTTATGGTGGGTAGCACCAATGTTAAGGTGCATTATCGCCACCTACTGTATTGGAAACAGAAAAACTTAACGACCAATGCCGATATATCGGCCATGGCGATATATCGGTCGACCACTACACAGGATGGACATTAGCTGAGCCGAGCAACAGAAAGATAGAGATGGCGGATAAAAAACAAAAGAGGAAAAGAAGGCTTACAATAAGGCAAGAAGTAGGACCCGTGTAAATATCAGATCAGCTTTCCAGTGCTGGATAGAACTCAAGTAGCGGAAGGCCTGCGATCGGACACCGAGGTTGCTTTGTTTCTTATCGATAGGTGAGTAACACTGTGTCTACACACCGCACCGCAACAGCTAAAGTTTGTCTACACTGGACGCGACAAAGCGACCGTTGAAAATCAGAACGCAGCAGCAGTTTTCTGTTGGTGATTTGTCGTGTCGCGCCACACCGCATCCAGTGTAGACAGTATCACTGATTATAATGAGTTCTATAGTATTTTGTCATGCCGCGCCGCTCGCATCCGGTGTAGACGCGGTGTTTCGCTTTGTTTCACAGAACTAATCGTTGCCTGGGTTGCGTACGTATGTGTGGGGCGGAGCTATCAAAATAGGGGCGAGACCCTTTTGGGGTAGGGGCATGTTTGTTTTGGTGATTTGAAATGTCAACATTGGCTACCAGAAATCACTTACCCCACCTTTAACACCATGTTCTAATCAGACACAATGCGATAAGATTTCAGCAACACAATTTTTCTTTCCAAACCAGACGCATCACGGCTACAAGACGTGACAAAATCAATTACAAATCACAGCCAATCAGAAGAAGGAGTGGGCGGGCTCTTTCTGCAAGTTAATTTAAATAAATGATTTTGACATTATTTAAAATACACTCGGTGGCTGTTAAAATGTATGCCATGGAATATGCATATTTGTTTACATAAAGATCCCAGTTTGAACGCTCTTGTTTCTTTTAAGTTCTTTTTTTCAAGATCTGAGGTTAATTATTCATTGTTGCATTCATTATATGGCTATTAAAGTCATGCACAATGATATACAAACTCAAATTAAATGATTTTATTATGATACAAAATGGCATCAGTACATGAGCTGTCAGCTGTGATGTTGCAGAAATAGAAATCATTGAAAAAATCCCTTGTTGTAACATGGAAAATAATATTTTTTATTTCTTGTAGCGTCGCTGGGCATAGTGTTAAGTGAATGTTAGATGAAGGCAAATGTCATCTAAATAGAGGAAATGGGCATGAACAATTAAATATCCAGTATCGACTGGTACTGATTAATTGAAAAATATCTAATAACGGTTGATAACTGAAATGGTACCGATATATTGTACTTCCCCATTTTACACCTAAAGATGTAAACAGTATTGTTTATAAATGTTACAATTGTGTATTTACATTTAGATTAAGTCTCCACCAGTGATATCCAAGATCACTGTTGTATCGACCACGAACACTGCACGTTTTTGATGTCTCTAATCTGACACACACATTTGAGCTCTTGGAGTCTTTACTGATGAGTTGAATGAGGTGTGTTTGATTAGAGAGACATCTAAAATATGCAGTGTCAGGAGTTCTCCAGGACCAGGATTGGGAACCACTGGACTAACAAAACAGAAAAATTACTTTCAGCTTAATATATGTTGGTTTATTCATCTCCATGAAATTCATATAAATGGATTATTTTAAGGGCTTCAGTGAAACTTTTGTTCCAACTCATGCAAATTCGTCAGAGCGTGTCAGTTGGTTTGGAGGTGGAATTAGTCAGTTTTCGTCAAAGCTGATTCAACATCTGCCCACGTCACTGATGCAGATTCTTATACCCACAATACGTCAGTTCAGACTTCTGTGGTGCTCATTTAACTGTGATTCATAAAACTTGCTTCCGCCACTGATGCCTGCTTGTGCTAACGACTCAGTTTTGCATAACTCTGCCGAAGGTCTGTTTGGAATTCACTTTTTAGTTTTGTTTTGTTTCCAGCAGCTGCCATGACAGGGGTGGGGGCAGAGGATGACATCCCTCTCTGTGAGAGGAAAACTGTCACTGACTTCTGCTATCTCCTGGACAAGTCCAAACAGCTTTTCAATGGCTTAAGGTCAGTCTCTTCTCAGTGTCTGAGCATTTTGCTGTTTATTTGTGCTCTTGTTTGCCTTCCAGATTGCTGTCTGGGTCCAATGCTGCAGTGACCTTATGTACACTTACTCAGCTCAATCTTTTTTGTTCTTTCTTTTTCTTTCTTTCTTTCTTCCTTCCTTCCGTTTTCATTCTTGTTTTTGTTTTAATTTTCTTGTTACTTTTGTTTGCTCATTCGTTGTTTGTTTCTTTGTTTTCATACTTGCTTTTGCTTTAATTTTCATGTTTGTTCATTCTTTTGTTCATTTGTTGTTCATTTCTTCTATTTGTTTTCATTTTTTCTTTCTCTTGTTTGCTTGTCCATTATTTTGTTGTTTTTCTGTTTTTGCTCTTTCTTTTGTTTTCGTTTTGCTCATGCATTGTTCATTTGTTTCTGTTTTAATTCCTTCCTTCAGTTTTTTTCTCATTCATTGTTTCTTTTGTCTGTCTTTTTGTTTGTTAATTTATTCATCTGTTTTTGGGTATGACCCATGAGGAGTTCATTTGAATACCAGAGTCAAGCTTGTTTTCTGTTCTCGCAATAGCCATAAATCATGCCTTTAACCATATAGTGACAGTGACTGATGTAAGTATCAAATATGGTGACTTATGTAACACTGGAATGTCTTATCACAGCTGAGACAACGTTATTTAATAACCAAGTCTAGTCAAGGCTGCCAAATCTTAATTAACCGACAGCAGCTTCAAATGCTTTTTAAATTTATGAGAACATTGAGCATATTGCATGGGTTGCTCTCAGAATGACCGAATTCTGCTCTGACAGAATCTAGAACCTTTGGCTGACATAAAGCTCATATTACCATCATTGTGAGTTACTGGAAATCCCATATGAACAAAAATATGAATGGCACTTGTTTTTTATTATGCCAAAAAGGATTGTCCAGTGCAGCCCACTTCACGTAGTACAGGTTTACTTAATTCAGTCTCAAAGAGTCGATAGTTCACCCAGGGATAGAAGGGATCGTTCACCCAAAAATGAACATTTTGTTAATGTAACCGTTTTTAGCACTATAAAACAGGGCTGACAAATACTGTATATTGACTAGGGATGCTCCGATCCGCCTTTTTCGCCTCCGATACCGATTCTGATACCTAGGGTTCAGTATTGGCTGAAAAAAAAAATCTCGGATTTGGATCGACTCTCTCTGATCGATACCCGATCCGAGAAAAATGGCACTATCGGAGCCGATACCCGATATGAATATCGGATCGGCGCATCCCTAATATTGACACGTCTGAACATAGCCAATTTTGTAGGTGTGGTTGATTTTCTCTGTATCTATAAATGAGCAGGTTCTAACGTCTCATCTGTGCTGTGCTTTATGTATGTGTTGATGTTTGCCTGTTCATCCGTAGGGAGATGAGAGCCCTTTATATTTTCCAGTGTCTGGGTGAAGTGAGCTCAGTTTTACATCTGAATGAATCTTCAGCTCTCCTCTTCCACCTCCTCATATCTGCCAGTGTTTGTCTCCGCATTACACACACTCTTAAAAAAAAAAGAATTCGCGTCACTCCGTGTTTATCACCATTTCTCAGTGGCCAGTAGGTTGCGTTTGAGTTAATCAGTAATTTTTAGCTAAGACTATTTATAGGACAAGTATGTCAGTAGCTGTGGGCTCTATCTCTCTATCTCTCTCTCTTTTTTGCTTTCTTCCTCCGTTCTTGTTTCTCTCTTTTCTTCTTGTCTTCACTCTCTGTATTCCTTATCTCTGTTTCCATGCCCTGTCCTTATGGACAGGGTTTGTGTTTGTTATATTTATATTGCATAAGCGACTGAGACTGCTACAGTCCAGGAGTTTGGTTCATAGAATAACCCACATGTTCTGACATTAATATATTCATGCAGTAGGTTTTTTGCGCATTAAGAAAATTTGTTTCTTAACCTCATCTGTGGCAAAATCAGGAAAAAAACAGCACTCTTGCTTCTGTGATGTTGCTAAACTATATCATATGATATAAATTTAGGACAAAAACCCATGCAGGGGCATTTTTTTGCCTTCATATCTTGAATATTACAAGCATAAAACTGCATTCATAAACTAATGTTAATGTTAATCTTAATCTTAACGATGTTAAGTCATCGTTCTGCATCATGTTTGTCAGCAACTGCATGCAATGTAAGATGACGTACAGGTCTGGGCAGGGCGGGGTGCATTAAAATGTGTTAATAATTTTAATGCATTATTTTTTCCATAATTAAAAAAAAAAAAAATTGTTAAGTCATCGTTCTGCATCATGTTTGTCAGCAACTGCATGCAGTGTAAGATGACGTACAGGTCTGGGCAGGGCGGGGTGCATTAAAATGTGTTAATAATTTTAATGCATTATTTTTTCCATAATTAAAAAAAAAAAAAATCTAGCCTTAAGGCTTCTAAATTTTATCTGAAACATTCCCAAAAATGATAAGTGATACATGTCTCTCCTGCATTTGGGATATTTTCAGTTTGTGTACCGCATTGACAAACATAATCAACTAATAAGACAAAAATTGCTTCCACTGACTTTTTACAGCATTAGTATTGTAGATCTAGTCCAAGCATAAAGGTGCATTTAGTCCTTATTTACTTATTATTCCTGCATGAAGGATTTCATGTGATGCTCAGTACATATATATAAATATGCATGTAAATGAACTTATATGTTTCATACCTTAGTGATAGCTTGTGTCTACCCAAATACGAGACTAGATGCTTGTTATTAAGCCACGCCCCCATGCCCTGTTTCTCCATGCTAATTAGGCTGTCTAACCAGTAGCGGCCTACTTCTGCATTTGACGCTTAGCAACACCCTGTAGAGTTCAGTAATGAAACAGCTATTATTAATTGGTCTCAATTCCTTACCTAATACTTCCACTACTTGATAGCGCTCTCTATCTTTCACCTCTTTGGTATCTCTTTATTAAGCAAGCTTGACTCAGTAGAGACATTTATAGCGGCTTTGACATTTTCATCTTCATATTCGCATTTATATTCTTCATCAGCATGTTTAAAAATGCAAACACACATACAAACACATATACACTACAGTTAAAAAGTTTAGAGTCAGTAAGAATTTCTTTAAAAAAAAATCTTTATTCATCAAGAACACATTAAATGGATCAAAAGTAACAGTGAAGACATTTACGTTTGTTATTTCATTTTCAATTTCATATCATTCCATATAAACAGAGGCGTAGCAATAGGGCAGGCAAGGCAGGCAATTGCCTGGAGCCCCGCATTTTGAGGGGGCCCCCGACAGCTGACCATTTGAACAATCGAAAATGTCATTATTAATATAACATGGACCAACACATCTGCATCCCCTCTCGCATTACACTAGATGTGCTTGCTTTTTCCTTTTCAAACTGGCACAGCGCTTACTTGTGCATTTGCTCATTTAAATTTAAATTTGAAGAGGACTTATATATCCATCTGGCAGCCAGAACGGAAAAAAGCAAGAAGAGGAGGAAAAGAGGAAACATAACAGCGGTAAATGATGGAGATAAGATTGACTTAAGGATAATTATATGACAAACAAATTAGTCCCGCCTCCACTCAGTCACACCAGCCAGCGCCTCTTGAGCCACTGAACTGTAGTAAACGCAAAACAATGGCAGACACGGATAATGACTGATAAAACTATCTTTTTAGTAGCGGACAACTACAGTGAATACTGTAACATTCGTTAAAGTTACTTACTTGACGATGTTGTATCCTAAAATGCCTTGAAGACACGAAAACAGCCATTTGTGATTCTTAATTTGCGGGTTATTTTTTAATTTGCGGGTGTGAAGAGCAGACGCCGATGCGGGAGAGGTGCGTCTGACTCCGGGCTACTTTTACACTGTTGCCACGGGTTATAATACAAGTTAGCGGTTCTAAATTCAATTCCTTAAAATAGCTTGAATGCAACTCTACACCCTTGCCTCATTTACTATACGCTGATCTATGAATATGCAAATTAGTCCCGCCTCCACTCAGTCACACCAGCCAGCGCCTCCTGAGCCACTGAACTGTAGTAAACGCAAAACAATGGCAGACACGGATAATGACTGATAAAACGATTATATGACAAACGTTTTCGTTGTTAATTCCAGCTTATTTTTGTTTAATTATTTGCAAGATGAATTACTGGTAATAGTGGTCGACCGATATAGTTTTTTTTGACAGCCGATGCCGATATCTTGAAAAGCAGGATGGCCGATATAAAGCCGATATCATTTTATTTATTTTAATTAATAT